TGTGGTTTCTCTCTGGACACACACACACACACACACACACACACACACACACACACACACACACACACACACACACACACACACACACACACACACACACACACACACACACACACACACACACACACACACTCACACGCTCTCACACTCTCACTGCAGAGCTCCACAGCAGACCCTGGGCATGGAAACATGGCCAGCTGCGGACTTGACCTTCCTCCTGGAGATTCTCCTCAGATGAGATGCCAGCTCCTCTTAAACTCCCCTCTCCTCCTCCGAGCCACGCAGGGACCGTTCTGTCTTTATTGTGCGATTGTCCACTCCTTAGTGTGAAAGGGGAAACTCAAGCTGACCCTCTCTGTCCACATGTGCTGGCTTTGATCTTGTCTATGCAGCTACACCCACCACTTGCTGCTAACAGCTTGAAAATGCTCTGTTAGTTCAAGTGTTGTTATTTGGGGTTACTGCGGGCCAGTGATGGTGTCCATATGCAGCAGATAGGCTGTTTTTTTATTAGCTAATCCTTTGAAAGTATAATTGATATTGTACATTTGTATAATACTGTATATGGTTTTGCATTTTACTTATTGTTGTCAAGTACCTTGGGTATTTGAGGAAAATAAATAAATTCCATCAGCTGAATCTTTTGAACAATTGGTATATTTGTATTATTTTATTAAACACAAAATATATTTGTTTAGAATATTAGGCAGTTTTAAAAGAACATTCATTTTAACAATCGAATGTTTTGCGAAAATATTATGTAATAAGTGATAAGGGGGATTTGATTTGAAGTGTTGAAGGTAGTTGGTTTAAAATCCTCAAAAATTCGCAATAATGACTCTGATTGGCTGTTACCAATATTCAAGTAATGAAATAATAAGTAATACCTTAAATTATATATTGAGGAAGATCATGTTTTACTTAATAATTAATAATAATAATAATGAATTCCTACTGTCAAACACCTTGTGGGGATCATATTGAACACTAAGCCAGGAAGTGTAGCACTCTGTGGAGTGAAGCCTTTCTGCAGCAGCAGTAATCCATGCAGCTCCTCACAGCAGTGGTTCAGCCCCGCTCTTATCTCCTCAGTAGCTGCAGATTCTTGCAGAGCTTCCCCATCCCACAGAGGAGCTTCACACTTGACCAACCACAGAAAGACCCGCTCTTTGCCACAGTTCACTTGACCCCCCTACCATCCTCACTGCAGCCTTGCCCGGAGCTCCAGCTTAACATTTAGTATGGCTGACACAGTCCGACTGTGTTCTGCCAGAGGCTACAGAACAACTTCATCTGTCAGCTACAGACATGCACAGTATAGACGTGCTCAAGCTGCACAGGGGCACTGCAATGGATACATGGTCAGGCAGTAACATAAACCATATTATATTGATTCAACTGAGTCACAGCCAACTAGAGATGTGAAACTGTTAAAACGATATTTGTACTTTCCTAGAAGCATTTGTTTTGAAGGCACTTGCTGCAGACAGCGTTTCTTGACACAAGGGTAGACAAAACTGCTTCGCCTAATGACTCAGCAGCCTCTGTCTTACCTTAATAATTCATATCCAGTAGAGTATGCTTGTTGCAGAATACAGCAAAACTTTATGGTGGCATTCTTTTCACTAGATAGTTTAACATGTAGACAGAAAACATGGTAGTGACAGGGCTGGATTCAAACCTAAGACCTGGTAGTTAAATACTGTAGTTGATCCTACAACACACTCCATAATGTTTCATAGCTAATTGTAAGTCACAACCACCCCACGCTCACTTAGCTTCCTGATTAGATGATGCACAGGTCTTTTTGAAATGCAAATAACCAGCTGTCATGCCTCATGGGCGTTCCTCTAACAAGTCAATTTAATTTATAGCTGAATTATGTTGGAGGGCTTTACTTCTACTGGGGTGTGAGGGGAAATATGTATTGGCACAACATGTTTTTGTATTTGTAAGAATTGGGCCTTGACCAGCTGGTTTCAACTGTTATTCCTGCAATATATGTCTTATATTAGGAATCGGATACATGCATACAACAAAACAGATGTGTCTGAGTGATGAGGGCCTAGGGAGTAGGTGCATATCATATAAAAGCCACATCGTGGGTTTGATTCCAGCGGACCTTTGTTTATGTAAGGTATTATGAAATCGTATACAACACCCTTCCAGCAGTTATTATCAGAGCCACTTTGCATTGTTGCAGGCACGTTTCTTCAAGTTTAAGAAGACTCTGTGTCCGTAGAGCAAAAATATTTATGATCCCCAGCAGCTGTGACAATTTAAACAATGTCTGTGTGCAGTTGTGCATCACTGATCTCTTTTTCTAGGTCCTGTTGAAATTAACCACTTAGTAATTACTGGCAGCAGTTTCACAGCTTGTTATTGCAAACATAACAATTTATTCTGAATTAGAAAAGGATGGTTCCTTCTTAATAATGCAACATAACGTTAAAAGATTAATCAAACTTTCCACATGACATTGATTTTTGGCACGTGCATATTGTTCCAACTAAGTATAATGTATGCATTTTGGGTTAGCAATCTGCACTCAATGTACAAATAAGAAAGAGTGTCTGTTCGCCTGAAACAGGGGATTTATGACTTTGCAGTTTTACCGGTTCTTGCCTCTTGTTATTTTATTGAGAGTAAGCCCAAAGTCCCTCTGATCCGAGGTGCGAGAAAAGGGATAAACCAAAAAGGATATACATTTCCTAACAGATCAAATATGCATAATTCAAGTCTTGTCTCTTCCTCTCTCAGTATCTCTCTACATTTCTCTCTCTTCCTGCATCCCCTCATATACTCAGCTGCTTTTCTCAGTTCATTTCATCATACACTCGAATGTAGTTCAGTGTGTCAAGCACTACTGAAATATTAACACAGGCTGAAACGCAGGCAGGCAGTTACGGCTTAGTGCACCATCATGAATGTAGGGATCTTTACTTTTTCTTTACCTGTGATAATGTGTTTATGGGTGTGCTTGTGTCAGCACCTTTTTAATGGAACCTGTTAAAAGGTGAATGTTTTTCACCTTTAAAAGGAAGTTTCTGGATAGATGCCTGCATGTGTTTGTTTCCAAGCGTAATGGAGGCTGTGGTGGACTTTGCTGTGTTTCAGTAAATACAGCATGTGCGTGCCCCTCTGACATGCAGGATTATTTTTGACAATACCCATTGAGTTCATAAGGGGTCTTTGAGTGTGCGACTTGCAGCTGCAGGAAGGGAAGAAGCAGAGATAAATAAACCAAGATGAACACTGCCCTGTTTCCTTGTCTTCCCCCCCTCGTCCTCATTATCAGAGGGTGAAGCACGGGCAACGACAGCAGGGTGACAACATGGGTCTGACAAATGTCTTTCCGAAATCTACTTATTTGGATTTAGATTGCAAGAATAGGAATAATTCCCATTTCTAAGTAAAATGGAAATCACTATATGTGTTAAAAGGCTTCAGCACATTCAAGAATCTGTCAGTAGACCAATGAAAAGCAAATATTTTCTGAGCTGAAGAACCCCAAGTATCTCTGATCCAGTGTTTAAATGTTGGGGGAGGGAGGCTTGCATCACATTTAACAGGATTAATCTTCTTGCTGGAGGAGAAGTGAATGCAAATTATTTTGATTGGCTCTTTTGAGAGGCTTATCTTCAGGTTCAGTAAAAGAGATTTGAGAGAATTGATTCAATATTTTTCTCCAAAAACTGAAGTTTGAACTCCATATATCCCACAGGTGAATGCATATGTCTTTTTGTAATAAGGACGATATGGAGAATTTTTCAGATGCCCTTCAGAAAGACAAACTAAAGGACAGGAAAGTGTTTTTCCAGCCCGTTTCCAAGATTGAATCTTTTTTCAATATACTCGCTGCCTTCCTGCTTTCATCTTTTGTCCTCCTCATTGAAGTCCAGAGACATTTAAATCAAATGCCAAGCTAGCGGATGAATCCTTCCCTGGCCTTTTCAAAAGCCCTTGTATGATCACATTTTGTCGTTCCACTCACAATATATCGTGTTCTTGGCAGAGCGGCCAGCTTGTGATCAAGCAGCAGCTAATCTTTTTCTGGAAAAAAACAAAAACTCCCTATTTGATGTCTTGGCCTAAAAGGTTTAAATCCTCCCATGTCCTTGGTATGTTTTGTAAATACAGATTTCTTTGAGGCTCCACTCGGGTCACAGGGTTTCCAACAGTTTGAATATTACTGCAGTAAATAGCTGATGTTTTAATACAAAATGTTATGCAGTAGTTGATGCACAAATGAACAAATGTTGTTGTACTCCAACATATAGTAGGGTGCACTGCTTACTGTACTACTGCATATTATATGCCACCCATTCAATGTGATTCATCATACATTTGTTCTGCCAGTGGCTCTAGTTTGTCAGCTGAACTAAATAAGCATTCAGCCATATTGCTGTTTGCCTGACCATGGAATCAGACTCCCTCTGGATATAAGACTCTGTTTTTCTAACCTATTTATCCCACAATTATTCATCCGCCTCCCAAAAGGAATCTCAATTTGTGGAGTAAAACATTTAAGGGATTGATTCATTTCATGTCTATTCAATTTTACATTATGTAAATGTGGATATGAAAGAATAAAGATAAGGGGAATTTAGATAGCACATAGTAGTATGTGAGATGCGAGGCTCAGCATTGGTTGGAGCTGCAGCGGAGCTCACACAGCATCCTTCATCCCCCATCCCTCGCTCTCTGCTCTACCTCACTCACTCTCTCACTCACTCACTGTATCTCGTCCGCTGACTGAGGTATTCCTGCGAGCTCAGACTGGGGCAGCTAAGAACTACAGTGAGACTGAATAAACTCATCCTCCAGCTGTGCTCCTGGGCTCTCTTTTCTGGATCCTTTTTGCCCGGATACCAGTGCACTCTCCCCGGGTCGGGAGCTGTGGATTTGCAAGTCAGAGATCATGGACCAGGGAGGAGCAGGGTGCGAGCGAGGAAACTGGGTCACTCACTCCTGACTGATGCCTGTTTGGACCTGGAGGAATGGGGTGCACCACCAGCGCGGTGGTGTTTGATGGGCTGCGTACGGTGTTAGAGAGGAACTGTAGCGACTACATCTGTAAGGGAGGGGAGCCCATCGGGCCGTCTGAGGCTGAGAGGGCGCTGAGCCGGAGAGAGTCCAGAGCTTTCCCAACACCCAGAGTACTCAAGGTGTGTGTGTGTGTGTGTGTGTGTGTGTGTTTATCCATTTAGTGATTGAGCGGGTGATTAATCTATAAATAAAATACTTTTCTAACTAGTTTTTTTCTCATTAATCCAACTCGTAATCATCATCACAGAAAAGCAGAATATACTCCCATTGGACAAGCTTTAACCTGCATGTTCTGCATTTTTCTTAGTAAATGAATGATTTTTGATTCCTTCATTCAGAACCAGCATAGTACAAGCTGTGTATAGCGTGCTGCCCTTTTCATTTCTAAAACATAAACACTACTCTTCCTATAGAACTGGGCGTGAGTGGGTCTTTCACTTTTACATGTTTTGCAAATTATTTATGCAGCATTCCTTCCCTGATTTCTTCTATTAGGACAGCAAAATGCAGGACATAAATGTTATCAATGATTCAAATGTTTCTGATATTAGAATATTGATGCAACCGTTTCACCACATCAACAAATCACTCATTTTACTGGCACTGGTTCTGGTGTCTGTCACATTTGATTGATTACATACGCAACTAAAGCAATAACACTCATCATCGTCCTCACTCAGCCTTTTGAGAATGTAACCGTCAGTGTTAACAGTGTGAAATGTAGGGCAGTGGGAGGGCTGGATCTTGCCCCTGCACTGCTGCATGGGTTAAAGCCTCTGTGGGCTGGGATGAGGATGAGGGGGTGGCGGTGGGACAGTGAGCTCTGTGTGTGCTGGAAATCAATCACCGCTCTTCATCTGTGAACCAGCGGGCTTGGCAGGGCTTCTGCTGCTCCGTACCAGCTTGCCTTGCCCTTCTTGTTTGTGTTGCTTCCTATACTGTGTGTGTATGTGTATGTGTGTGTGTGATTACACGTTCCCGCCGGTGGTTCCTCGGCTTCACAGCAGAGAGCAGAGTGACTGTGGCCCTGGCTGAGAGCAGGGATTTAGGCCTTATCATCCAGACGGGGTCAATTAATCCTCCGTCAGCATTTCGCAGTCTGGTAAATCAATAGTTTTACCAGAGGATGTGGTTTGCAACTGTATGGCAGTTAAAGGTTATTAGCCAAGACAAAAATAGAAGAAAACAAAATGAATCCATCAATAAATAATGGAGTTAGTCTAATATTACGAATGGATAGGAAGTATTCGAATAATTTTCAATGCGTGTGCACTCAAATGTGAATCAGGAGTGCCTACCATCCCACAATAAGACAAACCAGTTAGTATTTTGCGGGCTGCCGAGTCATTCAGATTTGGCTCCCCTTCCTATGTCAAATATAGGCCTATTAGAATAAACTCGATAACTTCATTAATGATTTGATACATACCTTTCAAAAGGCATATTTGTATCTGCAGCTTTATAGCTCGCTCTGTCCCACAACAATGTCCCCACCCTTTGGCTGAAATGTAGCATACAAGTTTGGGAGGTTGTGTGTTTGTGTGTGTGTTAAAGCATGCAATGTCACAGCAATGACGATTTTGTGCTTGTTATCACACAACTAACTGTTTTATTTGAAGATGTTGTCCGCTTCGACTCATCTGACAACATTTTATTTTATTTTTTGGGCACCTCTATAGGGTACACTGACTTCAACAGCAGCATTAAACACGGTCCTGTACAGGATGTCCTTCCTCATCACGATTTGCATCTTTTGAATCCATTAGGTTATAAAAGGATATACACCCTAATGTCTATCCTTTCAATCCTTCTGATTGCAGCAGGTAATTATTTGGGGGGAAATTTAAAACCGGATTATGGGGTTAGAGGCCAGGCACACACTCACTTTCACACACACTCAGAGACCAAGCTGTGTGTGGGAAAGTGATCTGTACTCTCTAGGCATGGATATAAGTAATTAAATGACCTGTTAGGGCTTTTTACACTGCTCTGTTATTTCACTCGCTGATTGCAACAGCTCTGCCTTTTCCTTCCTTGTGGAAACTCGCATCTCGTTCTCCCTCAGGAAGGGATCTGCCTCCAAAAATTAAAGTCACTGGTTTGAGATAATGCATGGATGTGAATGCTGTTCTATTTCGACAGTGTTGTGTTTCTCTCATGCTCTTGAGAAAGCTATCAATTACACCTCTCGGCGTTAATGTATCGTCATTCTTTGCTGTCACAAAAGTTCAGCTTCCTTCCTTTATTTATGCAATGTTTGAATGCTGTAACTGAAGCGCTGAATCGTCTGCCAGTTTTATCAGAGGGATGTTTTTTTTGGGAAAGAAAGAGAAAGCTGTGACGTCAGCTTGGTCACACATAAAAGCGTTTTTTATCCAATTATGTTTGGGGAGTAATTCTTCTTACTTGGACCTGTGATTGTTTTCATTTCAATGAACCATGCCTAATGAGTCGATTGTGCTTTGTTTATAAGTTCTTCATTTTGGGGAGTTTACCAGGTCTGCATCTCATCAACCAGAAACCACTCACATATTTTATCCATTTAATTGGTTGAATTTCTTGATGAATGCTCTCCTTTCTTTCTTGACAAAGATGCATCATACTCTTGGTCTAAACATGTGTGTTTAATATGACATTGTGAAATATTTGTCCTCTTCTCATAAAATGGAGGATATTACTTATGTATGTATATAAATACATTCGAAAATAAATAAATATTAGTTATTTTACAATATTCAATTAAAAAAGGTTAAACTTTATTAGCAGTTAAATAACATGTATATATTTTTAAATGTTTACATTTATTCAGTTTATGTATTCATTCACTAATGAGCATCATTTCAATACAGAAATATCCAATTGTAAAGAATGGTTTTACTATTTGCTTGTTTTTGTTTATTTATAGAGGATCAACTCTTAATACTTTTTAAGAGCGATCGAAAATAGCAGACTTAATGTTTATTTTGAGAGAATTACGATATGGATCAACTTTAGTTTTAATACTTATATCGTAATTCTCTTATATCTCAAAATAAACATTAAGTCGGCTATTTTCGATCGGTCTTAAAATGTATTAAAAGTTGATAAAGCAATTTAGCGAAAATGAAGGCTATTAAAAAGTATTAAACGGCATTTTCCAAGGTATTACATTTTGTAGCTTGTTTTCAATAAGTATATAAATTGTCCAAAGAGGTTGTATTCTACAGTGTGCCTGAATGTAATCATTGCGAAGGTGTGTAGTGTGATTCTGTGTAGTTTATTTAGGCATCCCGTTGGATTTGACGTCATCAGGACATGGCACACTCACTGCTTGATAGCGCGCAAAGCTCCGTTTACGCCGGTTGTTAAACAACATCGTTATGGGGAAATGCGAGTTTGCGTCCAAATGGTTGGAAGATGAGGAGGAAGGACAATCAATACTGTAAATATTAAATGTGAGGTGAAGTGTGTCGCCAAGGTAACCGGTTAAAACTTGAAGTGGCGATGAGGTCTTAAATGGATCGAAAGGGTCTTAAAAAAGTCTTAAAAGGTATTACATTTGACTTCAGGATTCCTGCATATACCCTGTTAGAGATGTAACATTTGACAGATATCTAGCATTACATTCAAACCGTGCTCACATTATTGATGACATTGACAACCAATTACATCAATACAGCTCGTATGCATTAGCTTAATGGATTAACGGTAAAACAACCTTTGATTGGCGACAGGATGTTTTTCTTGGTGATTGCTTCTTCTTTTGAGACGTTTCACAGCCACCCTGATGTTGTTTTCTCAGGACGTCAAAGTGTGTGTGTGTGTGTGTGTGTTGTGTGGTGTGTGTGTGTGTGTGTGTGTGTGTGTGTGTGTGTGTGTGTGTGTGTGTGTGTGTGTGTGTGTGTGTGTGTGTGTGTGTGTGTGTGTGTGTGTGTGTGTGTGTGTGTGGTTGTGTGTGTGTGTGTGTGTGGTGTGTGTGTGTGTGTGTGTGGTGTGTGGTGTGTGTGTGGTGTGTGTGTTGTGTGTGTGTGTGTGTGTGTGTGTGTGTGTGTGTGTGTGTGTCTGTGTGTGTGTGTGTGTGTGTGTGTGTGTTGTGTGTGGTGTGTGTTGTTGTGTGTGTGTGTGTGTGTGTGTGTGTGTGTGTGTGTCCTGCTGACTGATACACTGGCCCATTATTTCCAGCACTCAGGCTCATGTACTTAAAATAAATTCTGGCAACATCAGTTAGATTTTTCGCACACAGCAGCATTATTAATATTCAATACTTTTTGTTACATTTAAGGCGTGCACTGATCAATCAAAACTGCCCTCAATTCTCGTCTCTACCTGTATTTAGCTTTAGGTATTACAACAATGATACATATATAGTATATTGTACAGTATTGTCTCCAGACATTGTTGTGTGAGACGACTGTCTTTGCCTCATGATTACATCCTGTTGTTTCTGATGCCATTGTATCCCACGTCCTACAGCAGTAACGTTATTAACAGAGGGTGTAGACACGCTACAGTGTCATTATTACCTCCATGTTAAAATCTCATTCTCAGCTCACAGTCCAGGCCTCTCTCGGGATGGACTGAAAACAGGCTTCAGGATGGTGGGTCCTGGTGCTGTTGTAGCGGGGCGGCGAGGGGTGGGCTGTGTTTTTGTTGCATTCCAGGTTACACCCTGTTTTGCTTTGGCTCATGCTGGGATGGCCTGGAGATTGCATCAAGCCTGTGTTATGTAATCAAGAGGCCCGGCCATAGTCATGTCCAAGCTGAGCATTACAACATGATTGAAGGAGAAAAAAATACAAATGTGAAAGAGTTGCACAACAATAATGACAAACAAATGAAACTGCAATGAGAGCAAGAAACCACCTCAATCCAGACAACTATAATACTATGCACTAAGTATTGTAATGTACATAAAACAGCACTATACTTAAAATGTTTGGGTAAATGTCTTCCTAGGGACACATTGTCTAGCATTACTTCAGGCGTGGTAATGTTAAAGGAGCTTTATTACACTCTGACATGCCACATTACACTGTAATTAAAAACAAATGTTACTATATGTACATTTATAAAGATTGAATACATTTGATTATTGTGCAATATGATGTTGCATGGGAATTCAAATAAAGCCACTATTGCT